TGAACAAAGAAAAAGCAAGGCAGATGGCTGAAATACTTCTGCACCAACACATGGAGCATGGGAGAAATAAGAAGTCTGAACACTTGCAGAGCTTTAAGTTTATTCAGATTACAGATATGTAATGGAATAGTTCACACAAATGGAGTTTTGCTATAGCTAGATACAGGGTCTTTTGGAAGCCAGGAAGGCAAGGAGGCAGAGTTGTGCTGGATATAAAGGAGTAGCTTGAACACCAGGACCTTCACTTTCAAACCAGTGACAAGCAAGTTGAGATCTTATTCATAAGGAGCAGAGGACAAATAAGGACAGGACACCATCGTGGGGGGCCTCTGCTACAGACTACCTGATTTAAAAAGGGAAACAGATGAAGACTTTTTTTTACTACTAGAGAAAGCCTCCTGATTGCAGGCTCTGTTTTCCATAGGAGCCCTTAGCCCTGGGTACCTCGTACACAGGCAATATTACAGAGGACAAGCAATCTGAATTTCTAGAAAACACCCAGGACAATTCTTTGACACAGGTTACTGATGAACTATTGAGCACAGGCATTCCCCTGGACCTGTTACTTGGAAATGTCAGGAATGTGGAGGTTAATGGCAGCCTTGGTAATTGAAATCTGGTATTATATAGGTATGTCAGTGATAAAAGGAAGACAAGGGAAAATGTGGGCCTCCTCTGGAATGATACAGGAGACCTGGTTACCCAGGATATGGAGAAGGCTGAGGTACTCAACAAATTTTTTGCCTCAGTCTTCACCAGCAAGGGCTCTAGCCACGCTGCCCAGGTCACAGAAGGCAAAGGCAGGGTCTGGGAAAATGAAGAACTGCCCGCTGCAGGAGAAGATCAGGTTTGAGAATATCTAAGGAACCTGAAGGTGTGCAAGTCCATGTGATGTGATGAGATGCATCTGCGGGTCCTGATGGAACTGGCAGATGAAATTGCCAGGCCACTTGCCATCATATTTGAGAAGTCCTGGCAGTCCAGTGAAGTTTCCACTGACTGGAAAAGGGGAAACATAACCCCCATTTTTGAGAAGGGAAAAAAGGAAGACCCAGGGAACTACAGGCCACTCAGTCTCACCTCTGTGCCCAGCAAGATCATGGAGCAGATCCTCCTGGAAACCATGCTCAGGCACATGGAAAATAAGGAGGTGATTGGTGATAACCAACACGGCTTCACTAAGGGCAAATTGTGCCTGACAAACTTGGTGGCCTTCTATGATGGGGTTACAGTGTTGGTGGATAAGGGAAGGGCAGCTCACATCATCTACCTGGACTTGTGCAAGGCATTTGACACTGTCCCGCATGACATCTTGTCTCTAAATTGGAGAGACATGGACTCGATGGATGGACAACTCGGTGAATAAGGAATTGGCTGGATGGTCACACTCAAGATGGTACAGTCAACGGCTCACTGTCCAAGTGGACACTAGTGATGTAGTTGTGTTCCTCAGGGGTCAGTATTGGGACTGGCACTTTTTAATACCTTTATTTGTGACATGGACAGTGGGATTGAGTGCACCC